TTTTTGGTTACGGGGATCGAATTCGGGACCTTGCGCTTGTGAGCCAGGTGGTGGAACCACTGAGCTAAATCCCCGGCCCCTGATAGTTAACATTTTGTATTAAGCAGTGGTGTTTAAAAAATCATTTGTCATTTCTGTTGAGAATGTTCCGTCTCACGTAGTAACAATTTTGTGGCAGGTGTCAAGATCTTAATTTTGTTTTAAGGGAATCATCAAGAAAAATCCACTAAGTAGAAGTCTTGCTAATTATAAACAGCCAATCTTCCCCCGTGTCATGTACCAGCAAGGACTCTTCAGAATGGCTGGCGAGGATGAGCGTATGCTGACGCGTTCCTTGTTCCCTCAAAGCAGTGCACAGCCAAGCTTGAAAAATCTTTAGAGACGAGAAGTCTTCAGTCCGTACTTCCCCATTTAGCTTGGCATGGTGTACTACAATAAAGTGCTTATTTTTCAACTGAGTGACTCTGTTACATAGAGAGATGAAAAGAAAATATATTGTCTGTGCTTGCATAAGAGATACTTCAGAAACCAGAGAACTAAATAAGCGTGTAACTGTCTTCTTCCCATGTTCGTTAGCTGTTACTGCTAACACTTTTCAGACTGAACTGTTTGAATAAAGCATATTGCAAAGATCTTTATAATCCCCGCTGCCTACAAAGTGAGGTCAAATGATATGACACAAAACTCAGCCTGCACAATCCTCTTCTATTTCTAGTTAACACTGTCATTAATCCACAAAGAATTAAACAGAGGGGAACAATTTATAGACGTTCTCCTCCAATTCCAATGATTCCCATTGGTAACAGAACTGAAATGTTAGCACTTGGCAGCTGTACTGAAAACGTTTCAGGTTGGGCAGTTGAGATAAAATCATGACTAAACACTTGCCAAATCCACCCTCACTTACCTACTCTCATCATTACCTCCCCCAATAATCCCTCAAATAAAAAATGAGTCAAACCCAAATTTAAAGTATAGGAGCTAAAGAATCAAAACAAATTAGCCAAGACTTGGGGGCATGAGCCAGATCAGAGACACTTGCTCACTGTCTTCTATTTTCCAATTAGTAGCAGATGTGCCCTTGTCAACCAACTATGCAAGAGTTGATGGCAAAGACAAAATGTTTTGGAAAACTGCTTAGAGCAGCGAATCTTGGAGCAACAGTAGTATCAGTACTAAACCACAGTGTCTCAGAACCAACCACATCAACCACACCCTCATCTGTCCTGGATATGCCTTTTAGTTTCTTGCATAAGTTAACAAAAATTAAAGTCTTATGTTTGGCAAATTATAAATCATTCTCCTCCTCTTCTAGAGTGAAGTTGAACTTCCGTTAAGTTAAAAATCCTAGCCTATATCCCCTCCTTGGGATATTTTGATAAAAAGTTAGGATGGTTATTATAAAATACATTTGAAAAATGCTAATTTTAAACAAATTCCAATTTTAAACAAATTCCTTCAATCAAAACTCCCCAGGCCCTTTCTTCTTTTCCCCCTCAAGGACTGAACCCAGGTCTCCGCACATGCTGAGTATGGATTTTACCACTGAGCTACCCCCATCCCCTACAGACCTTTCAATGTGCCCTATCACAAACCTGTACATGGGGTAGGAAAATAAAGTATACAGCATATGCAAAGCTGATCTGCTCCTGGAATTCTTTTCTCAGAACAGCTCGTACTATGAGGGTTTTAGAACACACAGGGACATGCTTGTTTGTACATGTTGGGTTTTTATAGACCAGCTTGGTACTTGACTTTGTTACTCTGATTCATGTTCTGAAATAATCATGTTCTAAGTTTGAAACAGTCTGTTTAGAAACAAACTTATGGAATGCAACCAAATCATGCATTCAGACATCTCTAGCCACTGAGCATTTGTGCATCTGATTTTCCTAATGCCATATAAACCCCAAACAAAATAAAATTCAGTTTTTCAGATTAAAAAAAAAAACTACTTGAAAAATATTTCTCCTAAAGTGTAAAAGTATGTACAAGAATCCAAATAAGGTTTATTTGTAAGGTACAATTTCTAAAATGAATTTTCTACATCTAAAAAAGGATGGAAAAAGGCAATGGAGTTTAGTTTGATCTGGATTTGAATCCTGTCACGTAGCAGTATGAAACACTGAACCTGAACATCTTGGCTAGGAGCATTTTCCTCACCTATAAAGCATAATGCAGTTAAGAACACCTGCTCTGTGTGCTGGTTTCGAGGATTAGATGTAAAGGACCTGCACAGGAGCAAACAGGGCAGCTTTTTTTTTTTTTTTAATCAGTTTTACTATAACTAAGGCAACTACTCAGCTACAGTAAGATCTACCCTAGTGTCAAGACTTGGCCAATGGAATATTATCTTGAGATAGATGACTCACAAGAAAATAAAACCCACACATAGGCAAATGTCATACTTATTTCATTCTAATATATGCAGTATACACTAATTTAAATTGGAAAATATAACAGAATCAAAGTTTAGGGGAAAACGGCATTTAGCTTTAATCTTCAATCTACAAGTTACTCTAACAATCCATTTATAGTATTATGTTTCAGATTTTAAAGAGCCATCCCTGATGAATTTTAGACAAGGTGACACTAGAATTAAGCACTGGAAATAAAATCTACCTTGGTTATAACCAAACATTCATAGATAACTTTCTCCAAAGGAAATACCTACCTTGAATCATAAAGTAGCAGCAACAGCTGCTCCTGCTTCTGTTTTTCTTTTTTTTGTGAAATGGGAGCCAAACCCAGGACCTGATACATATGCTAGGTAGGTGCCCCATTCTTTGGCTACAGTCCCAGTTCATAAGATGATCTTTTTTTTTTTTTGGTACCGGGGACCTAACTCAGGACCTTGCACTTGTGAGGCAGGCACGGTGCCACAGAGATACATTCCCGGCTCTAAGGTTTATTTTTTTGACTAGTCCAATACTCTTGACTTGCTGAAACATTTCTATTTAGTTGTACCTGACCACCCAAAATCCTACCAAGCATGCTATTTTGGCATATCTTATACCTGTGAGATAATCACCTACTTCCTGAAACCAGAAATGAGTTTGCTTCTGATTTAAGGTTCAAGAAGTAAAAAACAATTTCTAAAAAGTTTCAAGAAATAGTTCATAGAAATCACCAAAAGAGTAGGTTGTTTAAAAGTCTAACCTTTTCTGCACTGTACAGCAACTGCTTCTACAAATAAAGAGCATGTAGAAGTTGGGCATTGTGGCACATACCTGTAATACTAACTACTTGGGAAGCTGAGGCAGCAAGATCACAAGAGTCTGACAGCAGCCTGAGAAACGTAATGAGATACTGCCTCAAAAGAAAAAAAGAAAAAAAAAGAAAAGAAAAAATAAAGGGGTGGGGATGTAGCTCAGTGCTTGCCTAGCATGCATGAGGCCTTGGGTTCAATCCCCATACAAACAAACAAACAAACAACATGTAGATCCTTTCTAAGAACTCAAAAAGGAAAAACCAAAAGCAGAGTCTTTGTGAATACATGTGCACAATTTTAAGTTCCACAACCCCTCAATTAGGCTTAATTCAGAAGGCAGAATTAAATACTGATTTGTTTGTAAGTCAGTGTATTGCTACATAGCTAAAATGTTGTTATAATACTGTACCTACAGTTCCGAGGTACTTTGATTAGACCCCGTTTAGAAAAAATACTCAAAATAATACATTCTAACAGCAAAGAATTCTCCCACTTTTTATTTATTTCAACATACTGATAGTTCCATAAACTTGCAAGTGGAAGATCAATAAAAGCCTTTTCATATACAATAAATATACAGAAATTATTTTAAAAGTCTGTTCACATAATGGATTCTTGGTACTAACAAAAAATTGATACAAATAATTGACTAGAAATGAAATCACTAACCCAAGATGCACAGGACGTTTCATTTCAGGGAAGAAATAATCCAAATAATCCTGTGTTAGAAGAATAAAGGACATTTGTCATAAGATACATTATCATACTCCCTTCAACAGGGACTATTAAAAGTTTTTAAATTAAAAAATGTTCAGGCTTAATTCTGTCTATACATTCAGGAACAATCGTATCACTGGTTACATACAATTCTCTCATCATGCAAAAAGTCCTTAGCTGTTTCCTAAGGTCTAATTAAGTCAAATGAGCTAATAATAGCAATTTCATTATCAAGCTGTAAACCAGAGAAGTACAGAAATTAAGCAGTTGAATTATATATCCTGTTTATAATATTGCTGCTACTCAACTACTTTCTTCACATAATAGAACTATTAGGCATTGATAGGCAAAGAGAATTTCATTATTGCAGCAAATGACAGAGTATGTTAGAGAAAGGAGAGTTCCTAACATTGTGACAATCTTTGTGATCCTTGTATGTGTAGAAAGGAGTGGAAATAAAGATAGGTATGTAAGGGGAAGCTGCGATAGCTACATTAGAATTGCATTTATTGAAGAAACTGATTTGAAGTCTGCCCAGTGTACCAAAATAAGCAGAGCAGACACTAGTGCAAGTTTAACCTGGCAATTTATTTAAGTTTTGATGAGAAAAATTTCAGTCTTTTCCTTGTAAGCACAAAGAAATTCAACAGGAATTTTGAAGGTAGTAACCAGAAAATATAACAGTAACTCTTGGAATCCTTCTCAGTCAAACACACAAATCACACTGAAGACAACTGTTAAAAATATCTATAAAGCCTGAGTATTTATCAACCTATATGTCCTGTTGTTCCAATTGGCTTTTGATAAAATACAAAAAGCCCAACAAACTTTTTGTAAGAGGTACCACATCTACAAGTGATGAAAATAAATTAGTTTCCCTCCCCCTAAAAGACGTTAACTTCTAACGCATAAAAAGCTATATAATATCTCATACAAATTAACCAGTGTTCTTACAAAAGTAAAGCAGTTTTGGACGGATGACATTATACTGTATTTGTGGTGAAGTATGAGGCATAAGAATGTGTGCATTCATTAGGCATTTTCAGTCTAATCAGTCTCTAAGGTTATCATTTAATTCTTGGCAATATATAATAAACGTATGTATTTTGGTACTTAAGTCATGAATTGTGGAGAAAATAAGCAGTATATTATAGTAACAGGATTTGTATTTGACAACTGCAGTGCAGAACAAAGCTCTTCTATGAACTTTGGGATTTGTTTTGCCGTTGATCACCTGTAGTAGATCCTATAAGATAAAGAGAAAAAAGTCAAATAATTAACTGTACATTGTCAACCTTAGAACTAACTACCTTATCAGCATGGATGATGGACAAAGCTTTAAAAAAAAGTCTGTTTTATGTAAGATTAATATGAAACAATATATCCCTACATGTTCTAAGAAGCAAAGCAAGTTTTTGGTGATAGAACAAATATACCTGATTGAACATTGCTATAAGAAAATCACAAGTAGAAAGTGTTTATTACAAATTCAAATATTACAAATAGTCAAATAACTAAAATTATGAAAAGATTTACACATTTTAATCTGGGAACTATAAAATATCACACATCAGAATCTAAACATGTTACTCTTCATGAAAACAGCAATAAACAGGTGGGAATGGGGGGAGAGCCAAAAGGAAAAGAGGAAGGAGACTGCCGATACTCAAAAGTAATGCATTCTGTAAAACCTGGACTTTTTTTTTTTTTTTGGTACTGGGCGCTTGCAAGGCAGGCGGCAGAACCACTGAGCTAAATCCCCGGCCCAAACCTGGACATTTTAAAGGTTGGTAAATAAAACTTTTTAAGGGCCCACAAAAGATAGGGGCTAGGGCCGGGGATGAAGCTCAGCGGCACAGCACCTGCCTGGCAAGCGTGAGGTCCTGAGTTCGATCCCCAGTACCAAATAAAAAGGTAGGGGCTAAATAACTTATTTTTCTTTTGGTTTTTTGAGGCAGGGTCTCCCTTTGGAGTTCAGGCTGGCCCCGAACTCACTATGTTATCCAGGCTGGCCTCAAATTCACAGAGATCCTCCTGCCTCAGCCTCCTGAGTGCTGGGGATTACAAGTGTGGGCCACCATGCCCGGCTGCTAAATAACTTATTTCTTTAAGCCTTATTATAAAGTAATTTCTACCCTTGTGGACTTTATAACAAACAGGATATACATAAAGAATATATCCTTAAACACACATACAAAAAGTACTTTTTTTTTGTACTGGGGATGGAACTCAGGACCTTGCACTTGCGAGGCAGGTGTGGTGCCACTGAGCTAAATTCCCCCAGCCCTCACAAAGAGTACTTTTATTTCCACTGGAAAAAAATCAGGCATTGAGCTAACATAAATTTTAGTAACCATTACACTTATATAGAAAAATATATTTATTAAATGTGTGAAATTTAATGTCATAGGCAAAGATGGACAAAAAACCAATTTTCTTTCCTTTTTTTTTCCCTTGCAGTGCAAGGGACTGAACCCAGGGATGGTGAGCTACATCCCCATCCCTTTTTAAATTTTTATTTTGAGACAGGATCACACCAATGTTGCCAAGGCTGGCCTCAAACTTACAATTCTTGTGCCTCTGCCTCCTGAGTAGGAGTGTGGCCAGAGTTATTTTTCAAAAGTAATGACTTAAAACAAAACCAAAAACAAACCGAAACAAACCAACAAGAAAAAGAAATCCCTTTATTCTTTGACATAGTAATATTGGGTACAGAAAATGAAGGGTATTCCTAGTGCCTTACTAGGAGATGATATTGAAAGTCTGAGTAGAAGTTGATGAAAAATTACGAACAAAAAAATATTCACTTGAATATCAAAAGAAATCATCAAGGGTTGGGGATTTAGCTCAGTGGTAGTGTTTGCCTTAACATCTACAAGGCCCTGGGTTCAATGCCCCAAACAGTGAAAAAACAAAGTCTTTCCAGATATGACATGCTTTTAGAACCTAAAGGGATATTAAAACAAATCCTCCATATTAAAAACATGTTTCTTTAATTTACATTGTTATGACAAAATAGGATCTGAAAGCCAAAACAAAACACAGCTTAATATGAAAACAAATATCCTTGCCTAAATCTAAGTAAACCAAAAGAAAAAACAGCTAAGCAACATGACATGGTCTTAAGTCAACTACAGGCATAATAAACTTTATTTTAATTGGCAGAGATTGAAATTTTACAAACAAAACATTGGTGTAATAATAGTGAATCAGCAAAATTATCTGAGGTTTCTCAAAAGTTTAAAGCAAAATAAATGATCATAGACCCGAGAACAGTAAGTCTCACTGCTATTTTAAAAACATCTAACCTTGCTTCGATTCTTCAATATTCATGCTTTCTCCATCTGCAGTCTCTGACATTTCTTCATCTTCCTCATCATCATTTAGGTCTTTTGAAATTAACTGTCGAGCTAACTTAATATTCAGTCCTTCATTGTAGTGAAGCTTCCTTTTCATTTCAAATTGTCGCTTTTTTTCTGTAAGATACAAAAGAAGGTAAACTTAGTAAATCTTAGCTCAAGGACTGACTGTGCCTGTTCTAGTGAAGCTCATCCGAAGACAGCAGCGGTCAGCTGTTAATTTTAAGGCTGCTGTTGTGCTCAATGGCAGAGCTGAGTAGTGTGCAATAGAGACCAGACAGACAGCAAAATCTAAAATATTTACCACCTATGCACTTTACAGAAAATATGCCAACAGAAGTGTTAAATAGTTTGCAATTGAAACCATATAGACCCCAAAATCTAAAATATTTACTATGTACACTTTACACAAAGAGTTTGCTATCTCTGTCATATAGTTCAAGTACATCTCAAAGGAACAGCAGGAATGAGACAAATTCATTACAAGTCATATTTGTGAAGAACATTTAAAGTACAGAAAAATTCTCCAGCAAGAGTTGAATGGGGAAAAAAAACCAAGCTATAATACTACACGTAAAATGAACCAAGTAAGACTCAATTAGTGGTGACTGCCAGGTGTGGTGGTGCATGCTTATATTCCCAACACTTGGGAGGCTGAGGCAGAAGGATCGAAAGTTCAAGGCCAGCCAGGGCTACATAGTGAATTAAGCCCAGCCCGAACTACACAGCTAGACCCTGTCTCAAAAACAAAACAAAACACAATTAGTGGTGATTAATTCTGAGTTGAAACTTGCCATGGCTTTAGTTTTTACCCCAGAAATATAAAGCTAGGAGCAATTCAACATAACTGACTCCATTTTACTAATGGCATTTTTTTTTCTTTTGAGACAGGATTTTGCTACATAGCTCAGGCTGGCCTTGAGCTCCCACTGATCCTCCTGCCTCCGCCTCCTAAGTGCTGGGATTATAGGCGTGCTCCACCACACCTGGCTCTAATGGCATTTTAAAGTGTTTGGAAGAAATAATTCTAAAACTTCTTAGACCAGTAAATTGTCTGTGTGTGGTGGTGGGGGGTGCTGGGGGTCAAAACCAGGGCTTGGCACATATTAGGCTAATGCTCTACCACTAAGCTACACCCACAATTCAACTGTCATTCTTTTTTTACCTTCACTGATCTTAAATGAAAGAAAGGTATGAGGCTGTTTAATTTACAGGTGCTTATCCCTAGGAGTATTACAGTATTGATCTTGTGTGAATTATATTTACATAGTCTAAAAAAGTTATTTCTGCTGGGCATAGTGGTACATGTCTGTAATCCCAGCACTATGGAAGGCTGAGGCAGGAGGATCACAAGTTCAAGACCACCTCTGGCAACTCAGACTCTGCCTCAAAATGTAAAACAAACAAAAAAAAAACCCAGGACCAGGCACGTAAATCAGTGCAAAGGCCCTGGGTTCAATTCTAAGTGCTGCCTCCCCCAATTATATACATACATATCCCCCAAGTCTAAAAAGATATTGATTTTGCTTATTATAAATATATTGCAATTTTGAAATACTCAAAATTTACTGTATCATTTAAGTGTACAAAGTATTCATTTTCTAGAAAGCTGCAATATAAGTGGTCTCAATCTTTCCTGAGATTCTTGTATGGCAGACCACCATAATGCAAGAATAAAAGGACATGTAGGTTTTAGGCCTACCTCAAAAATGGTCAACTAACCATATTAACTCAACAAGTTATAGCCATTTTTACTTTTTGTGGGGAATATCTTAATTAGCCAAGTAGCGTATCTAGAGTCCAAAATTTGAGTTTGTTGGACTCCAGAGGCAATCGTAATTGCTATGCTACAAATTATAATACAATTTTGTTATATGGTCTAATTTAAAAATTTTTATTAGTCGATATTTGCACAATACAATTTTTTTCTAAGAAACGCTACTGTCAGTAAACAATCTTTTTCCAGACACATAATTAAAGTGAAAAACACCTAAAAATGTATTAACTACTGGTGGGAACTAAATTAATGAAGTTCTAATTAGTCAAATGGCTCCCCCTGCAGGCTGATGCGTGGAACTACAACTTGAAGAATATCATTAATGAAAAGTGACAATGTACCGTAATTTAATAATATATTCTCTACTTGCAATAGATCATGCTTTTAGAGTATAATAAGGAAACAAACTCTAGAAACAATTTCTACTTTAAACTATTTTCAAAGGCTTCTTGGAGTATATTTTGTCAGGAAGTCACTAAAAGATGTAATACAACTTGAGAATATGTTATTTGTACAATTTCTCTTGTACAAATATTAGGCTCAGAACAAAGTTCTGTCAAAATAAGGCTATATTCTAAAGATAGAAAAGAACAGCTAGTTATACCTTAGTAGCAACACATGACAAGGATCTTAACAGCTAACTGGCAGATATCTGGAGTCTTAGTTCTAAAGTTTCTGAAGTTTACAGTACAGGTCAACCCCACATTGCAAAGCTTCAAATATTTTTGAGAGTAATCTGATTTTCTCACATCTTTTCCCACATACAAAGGCTTCAGTTTCCTTTTGTTCCAGGTGCTAGGGATCAAACATAGGACCTTGTGCATGTCAAGCAGGCTTTTCCTTTTAAAAATCAAATGGAAAATAAACTCTATATAGTCATCCTTTGGTATCTGAGGGGAATGGGTTCCAGGACATGCCCTTGTCCCTGGTGGACATCAAAATCTACAGATGCTAAGGTCCTTTATATAAAATGACATAGTATTTGCACATAACCTTTGTATATACTTTAAATCATCTCTACTGATATCTAATACAATGTAAATGCTACATAAATAGTTGTTATATAGTACTGTTTAGGAGTAATGGCAAGAAAAGGTCTGTACATGTTTAGTACAGATGCATTTTTTTCCCAAATATGTTCAATCCACGGTTGGTTGAATACCTGTGGATGTGAAATCTGCAGATATGAAGAGCCAAATGTATATAATTTTTATTCAATTATTATTTTTTAAAAGACTCCTAGGACCCTGCTTTGTAGTCCAGGCTGGCTTTCAACTCATGATCCTCCTGCCTCAGCCTCCCAAGTGCTGGGATTACAGGCATATGCTGCCATTCCTGGCCTAACTTCTTGCAATTATATCTTCACATGGTTCAAAAAGTATAAAAACCAACAAGGTAAAAATATATTCCTTTTCTCCTCACCTCCCCAGATGACCACTGCTACTTGTAAAGGCAGAAACCATGAGCAGGTAGCAATGCCTTAAGTGTGGATGAACTGTGTGGGCCTCTTCTATCCTGGTTAAGGAAAGGGCAGCTTCTATCTCCTTTCCTATGATACTACCGCTCTTTTTGCTCCCTGCAGCCTATAAAGATCTTCACTATACATCTGACCACCTTGGTTCATTTGATAAACCGTACCACTATCTTAAAACAGAAAAAGCACTAGTAAGAAAATTAGCTCTTACAGAGATCCATTTAAGACCATTCAAACACTCAACTCTTTTTTTTTTTTTTAAACATTTTTAAAAATTTTTATTGGTACATTTTAGGTATACAATATAATGACATTCATCATTGGAAATTTGCACCTTTACATAATCTCTCTT